TGGCCGCCCTGGACCGCCCTCTGATGGAGTCACACACAGAAGCGACGCCTTTGCAGGCAGACTCACCTGCACACGCTTACATGGCTCCCAAGAGACGGTGCTTATGGCATTTGGAGACTGAGTAGATGTGGGATTTGAAGTGGGCCCCACTGGGAAATTGTCCTGAAAGGAAAACACATTTAGGACCAGGAATTCAAGGCATCCATTTCTAATGCCAGTCCCTCTCGGAGCACAGACCCGCCCTTGCCCTGAGCTGCCCATCACCTGGCATGGTCCTCCTCGGTGGTCCTTCCTCTACGTCCTCATTCCTCTGCCCTCGGGGCAGCCTGCGCCCACTTCTCTGGGTCGCCACTCGGACCCTGTTCTGGAATGAGCGAGCGGCACTGCCTGAGATTCCTCCCTCTGGCAGGTCCCTGGCGCCTTATATGGCCTGGGAGGCCTTACAAGATTGCAGCCTTTAATTGTCCTCTCGCCTGGCTCACATCCACTGCTTGGTCCCCGATGGCGCTGCAGACTCTCTTTCTCCTTGGCCAGGCCTGTGGGTTTTATTTTATTTTAAAAGAAATTTTTATTGATTTCAGAGAAGAAGGGAGGGGGAGAGAGAGAAACATCGATGATGAGAGAGAATCATTAATCAGCTGCCTCCTGCTCGCCCCCCACTGGGGATTGAGCCCACAACCCCAGCATGTGCCCTGACCAGTAATGGAACTGTGACCTCCTGGTTCATAGGTCAATGCTCAACCACTGAGCCATGCCGGCCAGGCAGACCTTTGAGTTTTATAACCAAGAATGTCCAACCAGCTGTTTATCAATGGGGCTCAGGGAGACCAGCTTCAGGTGCCAGCCCCTCAGGGCACATTGCAGTGTCTCTCCTCCATCGAGCCCTCCCGCTCCCCATCGGTGACCAAAGAGCAGCTGCAGCCCAGGACGGCCTCCCAGGAGTGCTGTGAGCCTCAGCGGTCTCGGCCTCCAGAGGATCCATGCTGCTCAGGTGAAGGGCGCTTCACACGGGGTAGCTCATTAGAAATGAACAAGGCAGTTCTCACGCTGCCCCGAGCTCGCCTGCCCCTGCTCCCAGGGCTGTTTCCAAAGGTGCCAAGGAAGCCCCCAGAGCATGGATTGCGAAAAGGAAGGAGAGCGAGTTCTTTTGTAGGGGAGTGGATGGCGAGGCTGTCTCCTGAGTCACCTTGAACTTACAAAAGAAGCGGGTCCATGGGGTGCCCTCTCACGGGGTGCTCCTGCAGCGACTCCCCTGGACCCAGAATTTGGTGCAGCCTGGACCCAGCCAAGCAAGTGTACCTTTAAATTCAGGAGGGCAGGAGGGTGAGTTTCCCAGCTCAGAATGGGGATGAGTCCCGCACTCTCCTGCTTATTTCAGCCCAGGCGCTGCCATGCGTGGGCCTGGCCCCCGCGGAGCCCTCTCCCGTGGCCACGGTGTGTTTTGTCAGTGGGGAGGGATGCTCAGTGACTAACTGGCAAGAGTATCTTGGTGCAGTCTTTCCCTGTAAGGAGATGAAGAATTTTTTCAAGTTGTGACTTTAATAACATCGTTCCCTCCGCCCGGGACCAGTTCAGCTTGCATTCCACACACATTTTGATTATACACAGACAGAGAAGGCGTAGTCCTGAGTCTCCAGGGCCTAAGAATTCCTAAGGGGAGACCCTTAAGCAGACAGAGAATTGGGAAATTGCCTGGGAGTGAGATTGAGACACTTAGAAGTGTCAGCCCACAGATGATGGAAATGAAGGCGTGGTGGTGGCAACACTGCAGGGGATCTCGGGAGGCCTGAGGAGGAGGAGATGAGGAAGGGTGTTTAAGGCCGAGGGAAAAGCATATGTTAAGGTCTAGAAGTCTGGGGAACAGTTTAATTGATCTTTCAGTCATTCCATTTTGTTTTTGAAATTGTTTTCTCCCTCTGCCCCGATAAATGCATTCTGGAACTTTTATGTTTAAAAAAAATGCTGAAATTGGCTCTCTGAGGAGCAGCAGGGTCCCCGTTGTGGAGAGTTGATGAGTTTGGACTTTCTCTGAGGGGTGTTAAGCAGTGTGGCTTAACGATGTTCACAATGAGAAAGCATCCATACACCAGATGCACGCTCTTGTTATTGCTGCCTCTGTATCTGTGGCTCTAGTCAGATGGAACGCGCTCCGCACGGAGGGCAGTGAGGAGAACCCGTCTTGAGGGTGGGAGACATGTTTGGAGCCTTTTGTCCTAATCCGCGAGAGCAGTGATGAGCACCTGAACCAAGACCAGTGGCCGTGGGAAAGGAAAGAAGAAGAATTTAGGATATGAAGGTGACTGAGAGAGAAGTCAAGGCCAGCCTGGCAACTCTGTGGGTGAGACAGCCGGGATGGGCTCCCAGGCAGCCCGGAGAGGGGTAGTGAGTTCAGCGGGGTCAGCTTGCATCTGAGGTGACTAAGGGACACCCAGGCGGACGTGTCCAACGAGGAGTTGGTTGTCTGGAGCTCAGAAAGATCTGGGTTCAGATGAGAGATCTGGCAGCTGTAAGCAGGTCGAGATGAGTTCTCCTCTGGAAAGAGAGGAGACAGGAGAGAAAAAAAAAGATGAGAACAGACTTGGGCAGGAAAATGAAAGAACCCAAAACAACAAGCAAGTCTACGAAGGAGACAAGAGAAGTGTGGGATTGGGAAGAACAGTAACCCAGGATCAGTGGGCTGCCATCATCCTTCCCTCTGAAATCCTAATGGCTGTCACACACACACACCAGACACACACACACACACACCTCAGACACACACTCACACACATACACACACACACCAGACACTCACACACACACACACCAGACACTCACACACACACACACCAGACACTCACACACACACACACCAGACACTCACACACACACACACCAGACACTCACACACACACACACCAGACACTCACACACACACACACCAGACACTCACACACACACACACCAGACACTCACACACACACACACCAGACACTCACACACACACACACCAGACACTCACACACACACACACCAGACACTCACACACACACACACCAGACACTCACACACACACACACCAGACACTCACACACACACACACCAGACACTCACACACACACACACCAGACACTCACACACACACACACCAGACACTCACACACACACACACCAGACACTCACACACACACACACCAGACACTCACACACACACACACCAGACACTCACACACACACACACCACACACACACACACAGCACACACACACGTGCGCGCGCGCGTGCACCAGACAGAAAGTCTTTCTTACCAGGAAACATGGGCCATGTTGGGACTCTTCTGGTGCCTTCTAGTGACATATGAGATGCCCTCATCACTTGTAAGTGTGAGAGAATAGTGGTAATAACAAAAACACCCTCTGTGTTTAGAGAATTGGGTCTTTTTGTGAAATGAAACTTCCTAAATGCATCTGTGGGGGGAGAGAGAGAAAATGGTTTCAAAATACCAAGAACAGAATTGAATGACCATAATGTAAAATAACTGTGCAGAGCGTGGGCATGAAAGTGCCTGCCGGTATTAACTTCAGTCTCACAGGGAAGGAAGGCTGAGAATTTTCACCAGAATCTTCCTCCTGAGGTTAAAAGCACCTTATTTTTGGTTTCCTCCTCAGTTTTATTTCATGAAGATGTGTTTTTATCTAAAATGACCTCTTCTTGATGGGGGTTTAGGAAGAAAGAGGCCAAAATAACCTTGACTGAATTGGGGTAGGGTAAATTCTAGAGGAAATGCATTGACTGGTTAACAACCTCCTGGAAACACAGGATATTACAGAAACATCAGGGCTTAGTTATCATTACATGTTATTGAAACAAGGGGGTGAGTCACAGACAGTATAAGAGCTTAGATAATGAAGGGTTAAAATATACCTTTCCCCATTCATTTAAAACCGAATTCTTCACCAACACACATTTCTAAGGCAGAATCGACACAGGCTTCCAACCCAGAGGTCCAGGAACAAGAGACCAGTGTTTCATTTGTTGGCATTCCATCAGCACCCACATGTTGGGTGGGATGAAAAGAACAGTCTCACCAAAGCAGTCACAGGAGCTGAAACCTAACTTTATTAGTGTTCTCTGCTAGTGAAAGTCATTTTTATCAGATGCACTTCTAGGATTTCAGTATGTTCAAGACAACAAGAGACATTCTAGAGACATACCCTGGGATATGCCGTGCTCTACTCAAACTTAATTTTTCAAAATGCCACCAAAGCAGGGACACGTGGGTTTTGGGGGGTTTTTTTTGAGGTTGTGTCTGTGACAAACAGAGTTCGAATCCTAACATAGTCTTAAAAAAATGATAATCAGGGTACGTTGGATTGCTTTTCATGAATGGAAGTGATTCAGTTTGGCTACTTACAGCTGGTCCTCAAATAATGTCACTTCGATCAACATGGTTTTACTATAATATGATTGAGATGTCACAGAAACTTGACTCTTGTTTACGTCAGTTAGCCTTTAGTGAAATTGGTTTCGTTATACATTGTTTTGAGGAAGGTTGCAGAAGCTATCGACAATGATAAGTGAGGACTGACTGTATTGGTGCGAGATTGTAAAATACGAGATACTTGGGGTAGTCATGGATATGTGTGTGTTCAGTCAGAGTCAGGAGAGCCTGGTGGCTTTATTTTGTCAGCTCTGTGCAAGTTCTGTTTTTTATATGTTTTTATTGATTTTTAGAGAGAGAGGAAGGGAGAGAAATAGAGAGAGAGAAGCATCAATGAGAAGAGCATCATTGATCTGCTGCCCCCTGCACGCCACCTACTGGGGATTGAGCCCAAAAGCAGGGCATGTGCCCTGACCAGGAATCAAAACCATGATCTCTTGGTTCCTGGGTCCATGCTCAACCACTGAGCCACACTGGCTGGGTGGCAAGTTCTTAATCTCACAGCATAATGGCAAGACATGAGCAGCATCAGCTGTGTGGTTATAAAGCTGGTGGGGTTGCCCTAGCCGGTTTGTTCAGTGAATAGAGCATCGGCCTGCAGACTGAAGGGTCCCAGGTTCGATTCCAGTCAAGGGCATGTGCCTGGGTTGCGGGCTCGATCCCCAGTGTGGGGCGTGCAGGAGGCAGTTGATCAATGATTCTCATCAATGATGTTTCTATTTCCCTCTCCCTCTTCCTTCCTCTCTGAAAACAATAAAATATATATATATATTTTTAAAAAAGCTGGTGGGGTAAGAAGATCTCCAAGTGCACTGGTTATGCACATATTTGGTCAGAGCACAGCCTCTGCAGGCTGCTTGCCTCCCACACTAACATTGGCTCTGCCGCTCTCTTGCTGTGTGACCTCAGACAAGTCACTGAGCCTCTCTGTGCCTCGGTTTCCTCATCTGTGAACTGGAGGTGAGAATCAAACCTGTCTCATATTTAATTGCCATGTGACAATTAAATCATTTAGTTGTAAAGCACTGAGTACATTTCTATGGGAATATATGTCTGCCACAGAGCTGTCTGACCAACTGTAAGAATTGCATATCACAAAATTACCTTTGTTAGCAAGACCAAGTCTTCATTAAAATAGTGGGTCAGACAAGTAAGAAATGGAATTAAATTTATTCTTAAATCACAGTCCATAGACATTCTAGGAAATACTAACTTTCTGCTTTAAAAATCCTCCATGGAGGGAAATGACTATCTGGCCAGTGGCAGGAAAACGGGGACTCAGACCAGACCTGGGCTCTGCCTCCAGTGAGCGCTGTCTGTCCATCCGTCCGTCCTCTGTGCCTCAGTGCTGCCGTCTGTGAAGTGGGGACGATAGCAGCTGCACCCGCCTCCCTCGGGAAGTGCAGGTTCAGGTCATTGCAGTAAAGTAAAGCCCTCCCCTTTCTACGCTGCTCACCTGCCAATTGGCTGAAGCAGATTTGCCAAGGGTCTAGTTTGTCAGATTACGTGCTTTTCCAGTTTCCCAGCCCGCTGTCTCTGGTTTGACATTTAATGACTTGTTATGTCTCTTCTCATTTTGGCAGCCTCCATCCAGTGCCTGTGTGCAGCTAGGCCAGTGATGGCGAACCTTTTGAGCTCGGCGTGTCAGCATTTTGAAAAACCTTACTCTGGTGCTGTGTCACATATAGAAATTTTTTGATCTTTGCAACCATAGTAAAGCAAAGACTTTTTTTGATAATTTATTTTTTATATTTAAATGCCATTTAGCAAAGAAAAATCAACCAGAAAAATGAGTTCGCGTGTCACCTCTGACATGCGTGTCATAGGTTCGCCGTCACTGAGGTAGGCCTGTTCCTGGTCCCTGTCTCCAGGCCTGAGGACCCGCTCTGGGGCCCGGAGCTCTGCTCTGGCAGACCTGCCCACGTGGTCTGAAGCGGAGAGCAGGCTCCTTATCAAGCTGTCCTGGGTAAGAGGACTGAACAGACTACAGCTCGGCAGGCGGAGGATTAGGGACTTAACTCTCCTCTTGTTCGCCGATAGAGATCGCCATCTTCTCAAATCCCACATTGGCAAAGGCACGCTTGTCAGTGGATTATTCCCTTAATCTCTCCTTATCTCCCTTAATGTCACTGCCCGCGGTGCACGCTCGGCCTGCCCTGTGATGCCGTCCGTGAGGCCATCTGTTCCTTGTCACACAGTCGGAGCAGGGCCCTGCTCCACGCAGAGGTGTGGTCACGGAGGCAGGAGAGGGATCGTGAAGACTGCGTGGTACCAAAGTTGGGGGACACCCCTTATCCTGTTCCGTAAGCATGCGCGAAGCGGGCACCGTGGAGACCACGGAGAAGAGAAATTGGAGGCACCATGCGCTGGAAGGCAGTGCGGGGTGTGCTGTGGGCAGCCTGGGAGAACCATGACGAATGCAGAGATTACTACATGGAAGTCCCAGGGTTTTGCAGGCCCATAGTCAGGAGGAGAGCCCTGCCAGGTGGAGAAAATCAAGGTCTGAGGGTGCACAAAGGGAGAGGCAGGTTGGCGAGGCTGGAGGGAAGCGTCTTGAGTAAAGGGCTGGGCTTTGGGGGATGTCTCCCTGGGTTGCATGAAGGGGGACCAGCAGCTTACCATGTGCAAATGCAAGTGGGGCGGTTTCCTTGGTAACGAGGGGAAGCTGGGATTGACTTCAGGGTTCCGTGGTGTCAGAGGTCAGTTAGAAGGAGAGCAGGAGGTCGGACAGAGAGGGTGGAATGCCTTGCTGAAGTATTTGCGTTTTGTCCTAACAGCCCCAGGCAGTCACTGAGTTTGTAAGGGGAGTCATTGACTGAGCATTGAAGACGAGAAAGAATGTGATGAGCAAGCCTTGGCATGTCCTCTTTGCTTAATTTTGCATTTTTCAGATTCAAGATCACTTATTTTTAGCCCCTTTCACCAGCTCCGCAGCCCTGGCTCAGGCTCTGCGCCCCGGGCCAAGGTGTCATCGTGGTCATGGGATGGTGTTCTTGCTGGGTCTTCAGCGAAGCCCATCCCCGTTGCTCCTTAATCTGCCTCCAGGCCAGCATTACCCCGGGTGCCGTCTGCACGCAGTTGGACGGGCAGTTATTTATATCCGTGCTACATGTGCTGTGTGACAGCCTCTTAATGTGCCACTTCTCAGAATAATTTCCCCTACAAGGGAGTTTCAACAAGGGCGAACAGAAACTGCTTCTGGAATATGTTCTCCTCTGCTCTGCCTCGCTTGACTGTTCTCAGACCCAACCAGAATGTTCCTCTTTCCGCATCTTCCGCTCCACCCTCCCATCACTCCAGCCGCTCCAGCCTCGCCACCCCAAAAGATAGGCGGCTCTATTTAGCAAGGGGAGGGGCTCCCTTCCTGCTTTTGCATGGCTAACTCACACCTCAAGTTCCATACCCCTTTGCAAAGACTTCACTTTTTCCTTGCTGTTCTTCGTTCTCTTTGGGCCAAGAAACAGCCCTGTTGTAGGCCTATAAGTGGATCCAGAAACAATTATTTTGCCAACAGACAAGGTTCCAAGGTTCCAGGCTCCACTTTCCTGCACATTTTGGTAGTTTCCGCCAGAGGACAAAGGAAAGAGCAAAAACAGGGCGAATCAGCAAGACCATTTTTCAATTCTAAGCAGACTCCCAGGGGTCATGGAGCTCGCGCTTACCAGCAATCCTAATTTACTGGAATTTTTGCAAATTCTGTCTTTTGATTAAGCATCTCACAAGATGATGATGGGAATGCTGTTATATAATTTTCCAGGGGATCTGGGGACCTTCACGAAGGGAGGTGAAAGTAAATAAGATTTTACTGCAATCTAGACCTTATATTATAATTCAGGATTGGAAGGGGGGTGATACACACACCACATTTGTATTCTGCATAACATTTTATGACCACATTTATCGAGTGCTTATTATATGCCAAATGCTTTGCTAAGCGTTTTATGGAAATCTTCTCACTATGTCTTTACTCAGTTCTGCAAGCTATAAGTTACTGTTATTGTCATCATAATAAGAGAGGCTTCGAGACATTACAGGACTTGGCTGGGATCACACAGTTAAGGCGCCTAAGAAAAAATCCAGCCCCAGTCCTAACTCCAGAACTGACACTCCTAACCACTTAGCACTAAGGTTTTTATCTGGCTCACCACTCCTCCTTAATATGCCCAAGTACCAAGTACATGGGTTCCAGAATAATAAGAATCTTTAAGTTACTTGAATTTTAATTCCATTAAAAGAGACAAATGGAGAGGAAGAACGTAGATGAGAAGTCTTTATTCTGCTCCTATTTAAACCCCGTTAATGGCTTCCCATTGTAGGTGGAGTAAGTCCACATCCCCTAGTGTGGTCTACAACGAGTCAGCTGATCGGTTCTTCTGCCTCATCTTTACTCATCTCTCCCTGCTCAGGAGCTGAAGGTCATATAGATAAGGAGTGGCAGAACCAGGATCCAAACTCAGGCAACCTGGCTCCAAGGCCATGCTCCTAACCACCTTTCAGTTGGATGGATGGATGGATATATGGATGGACAGACAGGTGGACATGCACACACTTGGATGGATGGAAGGGAGGGAGGGAGAAAGCTCATTTAAAAGAAACGTGTGATTCGTCTTAGAGTTCACACAACCCATCACATTAGCAGCTGTAAGACTCATCAGCAAGGTCAGGAACCCCATCCACAAAAGAAAGTGCATACATGTGCTCTTATCCATCCAGCAGGTGAAATGAAACTCTAGCCCCGGTGTAGAGAGGGCCCCTGACCAACTCTAGGAGCTGATTCCAGTTAGCTCAGGATGCCAGCCTAGACAGGTGGGATGCTTTTCTGTCCGGTCAGTCACCTGGACTGCATGCCATGCCAGTCCCTGGTCCCAGAGGCGATGGGCAGGGCGGACCAGTGCCACTCCCAAGAAGCCCACCTGAATCACCTGAAATGACTTTGACCTGTCTGCTAAGCCATTGTCCCTTCTTACTCATCACGAAAGCCATATTCTACTTTTTAAGGTAACTCTTTTTATTTGTTTGTTTATTTAAGATTCATGGATACCTCCTAAGTGTAAGTTGTTGAGAGACATGGCTAAGTAAGACAAAATTGTGCCATAAAAGAGCTTATCCCCGGAGGACGAGAGGAGTGCAAAAACCAAGCACAATACCAGAAAGATGAAATAAGTGCTAAATGGAGTACAGGAACAGTGGTCATTGATTCTGTCTGGGAACAGTGATATAGGATTCAATGAGTAGTTGCCTTTTAATGTAAGTGTGACTTGAATGCATGTAAGTGTTCCAATGCTAAGAATACAACAGCTCAGTGAATTTTCCAAGCAACGACTATTCATTTAGTTACCACCCAGATCAAGATAGAGAATGTTACACAACTGTCAGGGACCCTCCCCGCCAATTTCTTCCATGAATTTTGCCTGTTTTGAACCTTAGATCCATAGCATTATATAGTATGGTCTCTTTTGTATGGATTCCTTTCGTTCAGCATGTTTTCAGTTCGTTCACATTATTGTGTATAGCAGAGCTTTAAAAATCATTTCTTTGTAATAAGCGTGCTTCTGTATGAATAAACTGAGATTTATTTATCTAACTAATAACTCTTGCATGGACAGTTTGGTTGCTTTGAGTTTGGGGCTCTAACAAGATAGTACCGCTGCGAACATGCTCATACATTTCTCGTGCAGCACATACTGTATGTATGCATCTCTGTTGGTTTCTATCTTTGGGTAGAATTGCTGTGTCATAGGGTATGACGGTTTTAGCTTAAATAAATGCTACCAAATGATTTTCAAAGCGGGTAAACTATTTACACGCCCATCAACAGTGTATGAGAATGCTGTTTGTTCCACATTCTTACCAACGTTTAGAATGTGTCATGCTTTTACTGTAGCCATTCTGGTGGGTGTTTGAATTGTTGTTTAAATTTCTATTTCCCTAGTGACTGTAAAAGCCGAGCACTTTTTCATGTGTTTATTGGCCACTTAGATATTCTATTTGGGGAAATGCCTCTTCACATGGTGGCCATTTCTCTGTTGGGCTGTGTCCTTTTCTTACTGAGTTATCAGGGTATTTTATTTATAGATCGCCATTGCCAGCTCACTATCAGGTAATGTTGCCACTGTTTCTCCGACTCTGGAGTTGCCATCCTTATCGTATCTTTTAATGAAGATCTAATATAATTTGATGAGCACTTTTCCTTAGGGGTAATAATTGTTCTGCCCTGTTTAAGAAACCTTTGCCCAGCTGGATGTCATGGGTAGATTCTCCTGTTATATGGAAGCTTCTTGGTTCTTTCACACTGAGATCTAGAAGCCACCTGGAGTTGATTTTTGTAAGTGGTGTGAGGCAGGGACTCCTCGCTCATATTTCCCAATGCATATATGGTTGGCCCTGCATAAGTTATTGAAACCTCTTCCACCGCTGTGTTACCTTTGTCATAAACCTGATGACTAGATATACAGGTCTGCGTCTAGACTTCCTGTTCTAGTCCATTGTTCTGCTTTTCCATCCGGGGACCAATAGCAAGATGCCGTCATTACTGGAGTTGCATACTGTCTTCTATCCAGAAGTGTAATTCCTCCAGGTTTATAATTTAAGCTAAGTAAATAATTATTATTTTGCTAGTAAAACTGGTAACCACTAGCACTTATGGGTGCTTATTTTATCTCAGTGAATATATGAACCCTGTACGGCAGCGGTTCTCAACCTGTGGGTCGCGACCCCTTTGGGGGTCGAACAACCCTTTCACAGGGGTCACCTAAGACCATCGGAAAACAAATATATAATTACATATTGTTTTTGTGATTAATCACTATGCTTTAATTATGTTCAATTTGTAACAATGAAAATACATCCTGCATATCAGATATTTACATGACGATTCATAACAGTAGCAAAATTACAGTTATGAAGTAGCAACGAAAATAATGTTATGGTTGGGGTCACCACACCATGAGGAACTGTATTAAAGGGTCGCGGCATTAGGAAGGTTGAGAACCACTGATGTATGGCTTTACATTTAATCCCAGCAGCAATCTGATGAGCTGGGAGACATTGTCTTTTCCTTTTTTTTTTTTTTAACGAGGACATTGAGGTCCAGAGGAAGTGTAATGTGATCAAGGTCACATTGCTATTAAATAGCGACACCGAGATTTGCACCCAGGCCAGCCTGCTCCAGAACCCCTGCTCTCTCACCACATACACGGCACGCCTGGGACGTGGCTGCAGGTCATTCTCACGGAATTGTCTCTCTTCCGGTGCTGGGGTCTGATTTTCAGGCCTCACACCAGTCAGGTGTTTTGTTTTGCTTTTTAATTTTTTTAAATCATTTTTTTAAAATCCTCATCGTTAGAAGCATTACAGTCAGTATTTCCTTTACCTCTCTCAGTGTCCTTCTAAAAATGCCCACGGGAAGGCGAACAAAGAAGCCCTGGATTAGCTGCTGTGTGTCTTTTCAATGTCAATTTCATACTATTTTTAGGCCTGATAGAGGATAGAAAGGAATATGCGGTTCTATTAAACCAGGCTTCGGGGCTGGGCAGAGCTGAGCGGATGTCTCGCCTCTGATCCCCGGCCCTGAAGTAGCAGGGGTGGGAGCGTCTGTATTGGTGGACTCGCAGCAGTGGGGGGACCTCAGGTTCGTTGCCCTCACTCTCCTCTTTCCACCTCTCCCACCTACCGAAGGTCTGAACTGTTCACATCTTCCCACTCAGTACCCAGCCTTCAAAACCAAGCCATTAAAGAATACTGTGTCCAAAAATAGAAAGCGCCAAGGTCACGGGGAAGATTTTCTGCAAAGGTGCAAGGGACACACTCACATTTGCATCTGATAACTCATCCATGCACTACTCAGACTGACCCAGAGCCACAAGCAGCGCTAACTGGAGTTTCCGTGCTGCGGATAACTAACCAGTTTTCAGTCACTCCAGCAGTTCTCACGTATGGACCGCTTTCGTGGGCATGTAATGGATCCCCTTCTAACTGTAACTCAGAATGTTAAAGCAAAATGCCCTTTATGTCGGGCACATTCGGTAAAAACATCAGAATTTGCTGGTGCCCCCCACACCTGCGGACCTCCAGGCACTGGTGAATGGGCTCCCAGTGTCTCTGAGCATAACGGGGTCATGGAACACACGGAGGAGAGATTTTCAGCATGGGAAACATTGCCTTTGTCTTAGAAAATTCCCATGGAAAAGCAGGAATTATATGCGTTCGCCTGTCATCTTGTCATTCTATCTTTACACAACAGTAATGATCTGCATTAGGTGATATCAATAGGTCAGGAGGGTATAAAAGCAACGAACAATTTTCTGTTGAAAGAAAGAGTAAATACTAGGTCATCAAACATCTTCTAAGCCTACCCAATGCTTCTTCGATGCCTTCACACCCGGAATGAAATGTGGAGCCATCCTGTCATTCAGGGAGCTGCTAATTTAGGAAATAAAGTTCAGGGCGGGTATAGCCCCCCAGCCCTGTGATTATTGATGGGCACCTGGGACCTGAAAGTTCATTATCTGGTGAGTGAACGTGTGTGTGTGTGTGTGTGTGTGTGTGTGTGTGTGACTGTGTGTGTGAGTGACTGTGCGTGTGTGTAGTATTAGAATTTTAAAAGTGGCAGGAACTTTACTAGTCCATCTTATAGGTAAGAACCCTGGGACCCAGGGAGCTGAGGTGACCTTCACAAGGTCACAGGCAGCACCGGAACCTTTTCTCTGTACTCCGTGCAGCAGACATTGTTCTCTGAGGCACTAGCAAGGATGTCTAGCTCAGCTCACATCATCCAGTGGAAATAGGAGGAAACCTACTTTGAAAGGCATTGTGCCACCTGAGAGCGCAGCCTTCTTACTTTCATTATTAAAACATAGGTGCATGGAATGTAACTGCCTGCAACGCTGGCCTATTTATAAACGAGTTGGGTGAACCCTTTTTTTACCGTCAGCTCTGAGGACACCTAACTATTCCACACTTAAGAGACCATTCAGTTGATTTTTATAAAGTAGAATCTCATTGTGTTAAAAATAGTGCGCTTAACAACCATCTTGTTTTTTAAAAGGTGTTACTATTTTTGTCTCATTGAAAATTTCCCTCTGGATTTTATTTGTAAAATCATTGCACACTACTTTAACGTTTTTTCCTCAATAGGTGATTTTATTTTTCTAAGGCGCCTGTAAGCCCCGCCTCCCTGTTTTTCTTTGCTTGTTCAAACCTCTGCCTTAAGGACCTTCTTCTTAGGACTGAGGCCGTCCCCTTGGGCTGAGGCCTGTTCACATTTCCCAGTGGGGAGGCCTGGGCCAGGGGCCCTGGACATGAGTGAGCATCGCCATCCTGTGGGCTCACAACTGCGGGGAGCCTGCCTCTTGCAGTCACTGTTCCTGCCTAAGCAAGACCTGTGGGTGGAGCGGTTAATCTTCAAAGCAGCCATCACAAGGGGCTGCCCTGAGCTCTTCACGTCAACCGAGGCAGGAAGCCTGCTGCCGCGCCAACTGCACTGGGTTACAAACGCCCATTTGGGGCCACCTGAACGAAGCTCCTGACAGAAGGTTTAATTTCTTCAGGATTGTACAGTGAAGACAAGCACAGTGCCGACCTCTAGGGTGTGCGGAGAATAACGCGTGCAGAGCCCTTGGTCTGTGACATGACCCAACAAACGGGCCCTATTATTAGCGATGTTGCCTCCCTCTCTCTTCACCCAGGCGGAGCAGGGCTTGGTGGTCTCGAGTGTGCCTGGCTATTTCTGCTCTAGCAATCCCATAAAAACGTTAACTAGGGCATAAAGCACACACATAATCACGCTGGGCCGGGAAGAGCGAGTGTGATAATGTGATTAATGATGAGTTTTTGGATGGCAGTGGTGCTTTAAAGTGCTGCTGTGGGCTGGTAAATTTCATGGCTTCAGCGCTTAGGAAAGTGAGACTGGCAGCTCATTGCCCGGGGCGGCAAACACAACCCGCCCGTGTTTACATCCAGGTTCCCCAGGCAGCTTTGTCTCAGGGCTGACCTTCACTCTGGCCGTCCCTCTGCTGGTCACTCAGGCTGGGGATGGGGTGACTTACACGTTCTTGCCTGTAATTTCCAACTAGGAATTGGGGGAAAGCAAAGAACAATCAGTGTTCCTGGGAAGGATACACGGGCAGAGCATCTATTATCACCCACCACCTCTCTCCATATTTGTGTCAACTTTTATCCATTCCAAGCACTTTTCCAAGAATCTCGTCATGTGATCCTCTCCGAGGCCTTCGGAAAAGCCGGAGGAGATTCACTTCCACGTTTTTGTTAGGAAAACCAAGGCTCGCCCTGGCTGATGTGGCTGTTGGTTGTCATCCTGTGCACCGAAAGGTTGCCAGTTCAATTCCCAGTGAGGGCTCACACCCAGGTTCTATCCTTGGTCAGGGTGTGTGTGGGAGGCAGCCACTTGCTGTTTCTCTCTCACATCGATGTTCCTCTCTATCTCCCTTCCTCTCTCTTTAAAACAATGGGGAGGGAAGGTAAAAAAAAAGAATCAAGGCTCAGAGTGATGAAATGACGTGCCCCGGACCCTAACCCTTTCCACTTGGCTCATGCTGCTGCTAGTCCAGGCCCTTACCTCGTCTAGAAGTAAACTGCTTTCACCTGTCTTCACATGGGGGTTCCACCCTCCGGAGGGGTGAGCGGTACAAACACTGGACACTGTTGCTTTAAATTGTTCAGAGGTTGGGAATTCACTGTATTTGTAAAGGATGGCGACAGAAGAGGTCAGTGTATCAGAGCTTGTGGTCCTGCCGGAGCAGAGTGTGTCCCCTTAGGTCTGGTCAGGGATCCTTCACCTGCATGAGAGGACTCTAAGTGAACTTGAGGTTCAACCAAGTGGCTGTAACAGGGCTCTCCCCCCAAGTGCAGAAGTCTCTGCTGTAACCCACCCGCCCTCCTCTCCTGGGCTTCTGGGGCTTGAAATTCCACCATTTAGAGCAGTGGTTCTCAACCTGGGCTGCACATTAGAATCACCCGGGAATCTTTTTAAAAATCCTGATTTCTGGGCGTCATCCTCCAGAAATTCTGTTTCTTTGTTATGGGGTGGGGCCACAACATTAGTAACAAAGAAACAATTTCCGGAGGATGAGGCCCAGAAATCAGGATTTTAAAAAGATTCCCAGGTGATTCTAATGTGCAGCCAAGGTTGAGAACCACTGGTTTAGAGCCTTGAAGGCTGATTGGTCTTTAAGAGGTTCCAATTAGCATAAGAATTCTTTTACTATACTTAACAGCTTATATTTTTTAAAAAAAGTAGGGTTCTGTGTTGGGGGTCACAAAGACAAGTTCCTTGGACTCTAGTATTGTTGTCCATAGACATGAGCGGTAAGAGGCCTGGTAGAATCAAATGTGATGCGTGGAAAAGGGCTATGAGAGTGTAACCTGGACAGACAGCTGAGAAGAGACTGGGGCTGGGGCGGGGGTCAGGGAAGAAGAAGAGGTGGCTGCACCTGGAGCTCAGAGCATGGCGTCTGACCCCAGGAAGCTTGACAATAGGGGCTCACAGGCAGGTTGACTGGCCTCATGTTTTGGTCCAGGATCTGACCAGTTGTGACCTTGAAAGCCACTTGGATTGCTTTAACCTCCAGCCACCTGTGTCTGGGAGTGTAAAGCAAGTGGTTAATGGCACCAGATGGTTAATGATCTCAGATGTCCCCTACCCACTGCCTAAAGGGGGGAAAAGCCCCCTGGAGGAATAATCAAGGAAACTGCTTTCCAAGTTGCAATTAATTGTGTATGCAGGGAAGCTCATCCTCCGCCAGTGGGTCTGTAGAGAAAGGAGAAATTAAGGGAGGAGGAGGAGCTGTGGTGGAGAGGGAGTTCTGCACAGTCTCCATAAGGTTATTGAAGGCAGATACAGAGCTCATACTCAACACCAGAGATCTGGGCCGGGAGCAGCCCTAAGGCTCATGTCATGCTGTGGCTGAGGACCTGACTTCTGTCAAAAACTGTGCCTGTGGGTAGGTCTGACAATCCGACCTTGAACTTCGAAGTTGCACAGGATCTATTCTTAGGTTGCTTTTCAGCATTTCTTTTACCCGCTATGGCTTGAGCCAACTATGCCTCCCGTCATCTCTCCTTGGAGCACCCCCACGTGGCTGTCCCATCATTTCCCTCCTCTCCCTTCTCTCTCCTCCAGCCAGTGAGACCTGCAACGACTTCCACCCGATGTTCTTCACCCACGACAGATCCTTCGAGGAGTTCTTCTGCATCTGCATCCAGCTCCTGAACAAGACCTGGAAGGAGATGAGGGCGACCTCCGAAGACTTCAACAAGGTAAGGGGAACCGGAAGCAGAGGCAGCACCTCGTCCCCCAAGGAGCCGCACTTTGCAGGGCCCCTGGGCCGTGTGTGGAAGGCAGTGGGCTGTTGGGAGAATGGGGACGACTGGATTTCAGGTCGCTTTGAGAAAGGGGGAAGGAAGACATGAGGCTCTTGGTGATGCCGTCCTCTCTGGGGATGAGCTTTGAGCAGCTGTGTTCCTTTGGGCTTACTAAGCTGAAGCCAGCAGCAGAGGTGCTTTTGTGAAAAATAATGTTAAGATGATCTTACGTCTCTTCCGTGACATGACTCTGGAATGCCTTGTCATTGCGAGATCTATCGGAAAACGCCTCCCTCCACCTGTGCAGGTGGCGGACCTGGAGATGATGAGGTCAGGAAGGCGGCTTGGTCCAGGGCGCTGGGTTTCATTGTGGATTGTGGATGTGTTGAGACAATTTGCCCTTGACTGTTAAATTGCAAGATCTCCTTAAGAGAGTTGCGTAAGTCTATATTGAATATCTTTTGGTTTAGAGAACGCATTTGGTTCACTGATGGAAGAGTCCTTTGGTTTTCTGTAAGAGAGTGAATTTCATGTTTCTTTCTGTTGGGTGGAGAGAAGAGTGTTGAACAACTTAGAGGAACATGTGGACTTTTCAAGATAAACAAAAGCTTTATCCTGAGGTAAAGGCCTTATAACAATGATAACATGGCTCATAAATGATGTTGGGTGCAGGTATATTTCAGCCTTTAATTATTCTAATTTGCTACTGTGTCGTCAGCCTCATCGCCCACGCCCACTCGCCTGGTCCTGGGGGCATAACTCTCTAAAAATAAGGGTCTGATCTCATCAGCATCCTGGGGCCTTGTGCTTGGGGCACAACGTAAGGTCTGCACTGCAGCTCTACTTGATCTCTGGTTGGCCTCTGCCTCCCACCACCTTTTCTCTGAATATACATCCCCTCTCTCCCACCGCAGTTCTGGTTTGTGGCATCTGGAACTGATGCAGGTTGAAAAGAAAAAGAAAGAAACCAGGAAAAGGAAAAAGACACCCTTCCCTAAGCCGCGGTCAGGCTCCAGCCTGTCTCCATCAGCACAATGATCTTACCTGCGGCTATAGCAGACGCCTGCGGTCCATCTCGGTCATCCCAGGCCATTGGTTTAGTTCACTGACATGGGCCCCAGTGGCGCCCTTCTGTGGCGAGCACTGATCTGGAAGCTGCAGCTTAGAGCCGCCAGGGGTGTGAGCAGCTGTGCCCACAGACAGGCACAGTCAGGAAGAGACATGGAGGGGAGCCCAGGATTTCCTTTGTGATTATAACTGCAGCCTCCCAAGTGTACCTCACTTGATCATGAAAGATTTTGCAATTCAGGTGCAAATCATCCCTGGGAGGGAGGGGGGGAGGGAAGGAAGGAGGGAGAGGCAAGGCGGTCTGACAGTAAGTTCAATCAAGCCAAAGAAATAAGGAGAGTTAAAACTACGGTCTTTGAAATTGCTGGGGCCGCTTCGCCCTGGATCAGTTCAACTCTTCATGTTCTGCGGTGTTGCTGGAAACCATCCGGTCTCTAGCACTTCTGTGCCAGGACCACCCTCTCCCCCAGGAGAAGGGGATCTCAGACTGCCATGTTCCAGCACCACGGGTCCATCTGCCTTCTGAGATTCCCTGGAATTACAGAAGTCTGCATTTTTGTAAGTGATAACACTACAGACCTTATTGTTGCTGATCTATGCGCAGATAAGATGTACGGAAAACATTACCAAATTCCTGCAGAGGAATGGCTCAAGGGGTTGAGCTCTTAGACACCTAACTCCTGTAGAACTTGAGGCTTTTGACAGGAATGCACTGTTAGTAAAGGAAACCGAGGCATGGCCTGGAAGAGGTGAGAGGCCGGACCAGGGAGCTGCGCAGGGCTCCCGGGTCCGTGTGGTTCCCTGCGGCCATGTGCTCCGTTTGGTGGCAGTGACATCCTGCCTGCTCAGGGTAAGACGACAGCAAACCCTGCCATCGCTCCGACACTTCTTTCGGGATTAACACGTGACCAGAGGCTTTCTTCAGCAGCTGCAGGGCCAGGCTTCAGGTAGTTTCTTACTGTGGCCTGCGCCACCGGCCTGGTCAGAAGTGATCGAATGTAGGAACACATGTGGGCTTGGTGTTACTGGTTCGATGGAAGGTTTTTCTTGTTTCCTAAGATTGTCTAAATCTGAGCTGAGAAATACCGGGAAGCAGCTCAAGGTGAGACAGCATTCCTTCTGAACTTTCCCGGGCAGCGTCTCAGGCTCTGGCCACTTTGTCAGGCAGCATGGATGGCAGCTTTCAGCGTCCACCTGAAACCTGGGGCTGCCTTCTTTAGCTCATGTCTGGAGAAGCAGCAGCCCTCAATCCAAAGTTTAATTTTCCCAACAAACAAGACAAGATCCCAGCAGATGCAGGAATCTCTTCGACAGCCACCCTGGAAGGGGACAGGAGTTGTGGGTTTCAAGCACTTGGTAGTCAGTGCCCCAGTGAGAAGTGGGTGCGGAGAAGCAGCTGTCTTTCTGTCCTAGGACTGGGGAAGCACCAGGTAGGATTTTTTAAAAATTTATGTAAGAGAAGTAGAATTACAGAGGGATTCAAATATTTATGCTTTAAAAGTCTTTTCTTTCAATTCTCAGTAGAGCGTTCTCTGCAGAATAATCCATTGATTCGGGCCATTGGGTTTGTAGTCTACGTTTTTTGCCTTTTGTTTCTGATATTTGAAAGCACACATTAGTCACTGTTCTGGGCATCAGAGGGGAGGTGAACTGCAGCTGGACCCTGGCGCACATGTGGCCCCGTAATCCTGGATGGAGGCCCTGGTTTTGAGCAGGGCAGGAGGGGCATGCAGCGATGTGGGTACTTTAGGTACAGGAATCTCACTGGCAGATTCTGTCCCTGACTCTGCTCCCTTTAAAAAGCCTAACAAGAGTCTACACGTCAAACTCTATATCTGTGCGTAGCAGTTTCTCAATCTTGCCTGGGCATTGGAACCACCAGGGAAGGGGGAGGTGAAAGCCTGGTAGCCCCGTGCCCACTCACTCCACATACCACTCTCTGGGTGGAGCCACAAAGATCATTGAAGATTGTTCTAAAGGTGGATTTGGTCACTAAAGGTGCATTGTGTCCGTAGGGTCACCATCAGTTGATACACATAACATGTTACCACCAACTGGCAGGGATTGCTGGCATTGATGAAGTAAGATGCTCATGGGTCTGCAAGGCCCATGTAAAAATCCTGGCTCTGCTACTCGGGAGTATGCCTACAATAAAAAGTTGAATGAATATATGTATATGTATATGTATATGTATATGTATATGTATATGTATAGTAGATCCCAGTCTCCCATTGCCCTCTTTTATGGTGGCATGGTAGTAAATTGAAGTAATAAGTGTAAAAATTCTTTGAGGAAGTAAAATGCATTTATAAAGTGTTATTTTTGTATGTGATAAGATCGATTCTGTCTTAAAAAGGAGTAAATTGCTCTTTTTCTTTAACACGTTTTTATTGAGTTTATCGGGGTAGCATTGGTTAATAGGTTGTGTACGTTTCAGGAGCAGGATTCTGTAACAGCCATCTGTATACAGTACTGTGTGTTCACCAGCCCACGTCAAGTCTCCTGGCATTTATCCCCCCATACCCTCTCCCACCTGCCCCACCCTGCTTTCCCTCTGGTCATCATATACTGTTGTGTGTCCGTGAGCTTTTTTTAAATTGCATTTTTCAAAATAAGACATTTTTTGGCCATTATGGTTTTGTTTTTTTTAAAAAAAAGGAAAGCTGTGTGTACCCCAAATGAAGTTCTTAACTGAATAAGGTAGCTCGTTTAACTTCAGCAGAAATCGTGCTGAAGCTGGAAATTTCACGGATTCTGGTGGTGTCATCGTCCACCACAACTCCATTAGGCCCCTTGGTTTTCCACGTGACCAGCACGGGTGGGTAACCTGATCGTGGATCCACCCTCTCGCTCTCCTGAGGGCTGGTGGCAGCTAACACCCTTCAGCAGTTACCTAGCTGCCCAGACTTCTCCCGGGATGGCTGAGCCTTCCAGGGGCCGTTGGAACATTTGTTCATGGCATTGGTGTTACTTTAGATTAGGGGAGGGGAAACCTTGTTTCTGCCAAGGGCCATTTAGATATTTATAACATCATTTGAGGGCCATACAAAATTATCAGCTTAAACATTAGCTGCTATATTTGGTCACACATTTAATTAACTGATCCCTAATGCCTTGGCAGGGCCAGACCAAATGATTTCAAGGGCCTTATACAGCCCTCGAGACAGACATTCCCCACCCTAGGTGTAGATGCTAGCAAAATCAGCATCAAAAGCCAAGAACCAATGAGTTTGCTCTGCTTTCCAAGGACCAAGTGGAAGAAACCAATGATTTGAAAAACGTAGTCACTCTGGCACAAAAGCACGAATTTAAACCGTCACCCAGCAACACAGTAAGCAAAGCACAGCCTGATGGAGATTAGACGCTCAGGCGCGCAGATAAGAAACCATTCCTTCCCATAGGAGAGCCTGGGCCCTGGAGGCCCCGGCCCCAGACAAAGCCGCAGCTGCCCTGGGAGGCTGTGGGCTTCGTGGAGTCAGTGGAGAAATCCTCTGTCAGGAAGGACGAGGGAGCAGCACGGAGGAGGCATCCTGAAAAGTCCCAGGGAGATTGTCCATGGAGCAGAGCCACCATCTAGTCACATCTAGTGGTGATGGGCAGTGTAAAAAAGGGATTGTTTGGTCCAGCCGGTGTGGCTCAGTGTTTGAGTGCTGACCTATGAACAGGAGGTCAGGGTTCAATTCCTGGTCAAGACACATGCCCGGGTTGTGGGGTCGATCTCCAGTATGGGGTGTGCAGGAGGCAGCTGATCAATATTTCTCTCATCATTGATGTTTCTGTCTCTCTCTCCCTCTTCCTTCCTTTCTGAAATCAATAAAAATATATTTAAGAAAAAAGGAAAAGGGATTATTTGAAACCTTAAAGGTAGCGATCACATGAGTAAAAAA